TATCCAATTCTACATCTAGGGATGTATTTTGACAAGCCGGTGCACAGCGTAAATCGCCAGGCACAACTAAAATGTATAGGCGCGTCCAAATCTATTTTGCTATTTTGATGGCAGAAAAGAGACTTTGTGCCAGTGCAAGGTGCAGAAAGGTTGTCCGAACACTCATAATTGTTCAGAGGTACGCCACTTATATATCGTTCAATAATGCACCGCTGACTTCAGACGTGGTTTTTTTTTTGCTCAAAAGCGCAATGTCATTTTGCTGGCTTAAAATAGCAATGTGCTCAGCCACACCTCATTTAAAAAGCACCACTCCTATGAGCAGGAAATGAGCACAAACTCATTTATTTAAAAAATGTGTGCATTTGGCATGAAAATGACGAATGCACTAGTATGAAACTAGCAAAACGACTGCATTGTACTCTCCGCCAGTGCAGAATAGGGCCCTTAGTCCTTGAAGGGTAGATTCTGCCTTTGTGTGCCATTCAAAAGGTCCTACATCCTACTTGTGAAGTCAGAATTATGAGTATGTCATGTTCAAGTGTTTTGATGTCGGAGTAAAATGACAAAAATTGCGGATGCAAAACTATTTCTCACCTATTATTAACTTTGCACAGTGCTAGCCGTTCATTTTCTATGTATATAATGATGAATAGCATTGTTCTTTGTCAAGTAAAGTGTGCACAGATTACAGATGTACACAAGCAACTGCTAATGATAGCTGCATTGCTAAACAATTACGTGCCACCCACAACTAAAAGTATCCTCTTTTCCGTCAAATTGAAAGGCTGAAGGTCATCCCAACTTGGGTATTAAAATAATTTCTAAATTATCGACTCGAAACTACTCGAAAGTATGACTTGAGGGGGTGTTCATGTGCAACTTCCACGTTGGTGACTTATTTTTACCAAATAAGGGGGGGAGGGAATCCAGACCAAGTCAAATTTGAGACTTTGAGGAAGGTTAGAGCTTACAGTTGAAAATGAGACCAGAAAAAACCAGTTCATTTTTGAGACTATGGTTTTAATTGTACGTACTTACTATGATCATCCCCCATTTTAATATTTGCAAGTAAAATTGTATTATTTAAGCACGGTTGTAGACATTGTCAAAAGAGCCATTTCAAGAAATAACAGGGGAAAGTATTTAATCACAAATACCCAACACTGTGAGCCACTCATCTGGGTAAGTGATGTGTAATTGAACAAATTGAATTTGTACTACTATGTAAGAGCTGTAATACAAATAATTCAAAGCAAGTTTTTATGGGGTATATACTGGGGTATATACTGACTGTTTGGTGAACTAAATAAAATAACTGCTGACTTAACTGACATCTTGTCAGTTCTGAAGGGATTTCCAAGGTCTCTGGGACTGTCTTATGAAAATAAATCAAATTAATTTACTACAGGTGAATTACATTACATTGAAGGTGAATAACAGATTATTTTCATTATGGTCTTTATATTTCTATCTGTCGTTATTTTCAGAGGAGTAAGAAGTATAATGAAGTTTATCACTGTGATTTTTATGCTATATACAGTATATATATATATATATATATCCTCCTGAGACCCGACCTATTCATTTATGTCCATTGTAGTGGACACTGGCGTGCACAGATAGAGACGAGGTGGTGCTGAAGCACTTGCCCTTTTGCCCTCAGTCCAAAAAAGTGGCCTTTTGAAAGACGTGAATTTTTTTTTTTTT